ACTAGTGAAAGTCGATCTACTTTTGGGCAAGGGGTTTACCCAGTCTTCGATGCAGGAGATCAACTCAAAATTACAAGGCAATGACTAGGTCAGATAAGTTCCAGATCTTCGAATTCAGTTGTCGATCGACGGATTTCTCCGAATTTAGATGTCAGAGATTGTAAGTGTATTTAGCTCTTGAGTTCATTCTCTAGTTTCACTCTTTCTTTGCCCAAGGTACGAGACGGGGTCAACAGCCAACTTCTAGATTCTCCGGATAAAATCATTCCTCGATCAAAGGCAGGAAAGACAGATTTCAGATTTACCAAGTGGATGAACTCCTCGGTCCGCCCCTTTCGGCAAACTCATTTACCAGTCGTGCCAGCAGATCCGCTCTTTTGAGCAAGTTACCCAGATTTGGACATTAGGACCAGGAAAGGGCTTCGAATGCGGGTTTCGATCGAGCGAACTCTACTGCCCTATCCAGAGAACGCCTTTCTTTGAATTCCAACGATCAATCACAAGGAAGGGAGCGATGTCCTTGCTTTTACGCATAGAAGATAGACCCCGAGATTTCTATCCATCCTTCCTGCGACCTCTTTGTCTTGGCTTTCAGCCGCTAGCTCAGAAGTTTATGCGTTTGGGTGAGAAAAGACGGGAGGAGTTTTGGCAAGGCTTTACCAGTCCTCGCTTCGGAAACAAACCGGTTTGGCATCAGCTCTTCCCTTGGATCTCACCTTTCTGGTTTGGGAACTAATAAAAGGAGCTCGGTTTAGGAGTAGAAGCTAGGTATGGAGTCCTGCCTTTAGGAGATCCTACCGGTTAGCTGCGAGGGAACTGGGCTTGGTTTCCAGTAAAAGGGTCGGAAGGGGAGCGGCTTTTCACGATCCAGTCAGGTCATTTCACCCACGAGGGGTTCGAAACGGAGGTTTCTCATATATAACGATGGGTCCAAATCCAGGATCGGGAAAACAACTTGATATTGATATTTGATCTTCTTTTAGTCGAACGCTTTCCCTTTATTTGGATACAGTTTAAGATTGTTAGCTAGAATATAAAGGTGTATTGTCATTCAAGTTCTATAGATGGTGTCTGTCTCACTATCTGTTTGAGTGCCTGAAGGCCCCTGGAGGCGCCGCTCTTGTGTCAGAAGAAGGCCTTGGAGGTCAGGCCAGGTCATTAGATCAGATCGTGTAGTAATAGCGGTGACAAAAGATTCGTACTCAGCTCCAAGCCCGGTCAACACGTGAAGGACAAGATCCTGTTCAGAGACGGGCACACCGATCGAGGGAAGTTGATCTGCGATACTCTTCATTTTCTTCATAAACTCCTGACACGAAGAGGAGCCTTTCTTGAGAGTCTGGAGTTGAAGGCGAAGATCAAGAACACGAGATGCAGAGGCGCGCTGGGAGTAGGTGGATCGAAGATCATTCCATAGATCTGCAGTGGTGGTACAGTCGACAACTTGAGCAATAATGGCAGGCTCAAGAGTCGAGAGAATCCAGCCGAGGTTAATTACATCAAGCCTGGTGCATCCAAGTGGTATACGCTGGATTTATCTCAGTGGTGGCGACACCGAGGTTATCAGAAGAGGTTACTGTTGGAGATGGTGGAGGAGTAGAGCGATCAAGGAAATGCATCAAGCCACGACCTCGTACAATCGGCACAATCTTTGATTTCCACGCGTTCGATTGATCTAGTTTGAACGAGACAGGATGATTTCACTCCACCCATGATTTCGTGGAATAACAAGTTTTCCCATTTCAAAATCTATCAGACGAAGACGAACTTGCATATTTGTTGAATAAAGAAAAGAAGAGTTCGATGTAGGAGGAGCGAGCCTCCCCCAGAGCTTTCGGCAGCCATACTTTCTTCACAAAACTTTATGAGAAAGATGGACTCTCTTTCACCGCAACTTGCCCGCCCTAACAGATGGAATTGATTCACGATCAGCCTCCTTCGGACCCGGTAGCTACAGCCCGTAAGCAAAACAAGATTTGGTCTCGTACTACGATTTGACTTCACTGAACAAGCAAAGGATTGAGCAAGACGCGCGAAAGCCGTTGCGCTAACGCGCATCCGTTTTCTTGCTGGTCGGAAACAAGACAAGCCGCAAAGCGCAAAGAAAAAATAAGATACCTGGGGTCGGTCACCGGATAGCCCTAATTCGTCAGTCAATCTTTTGTTACAAGGAAGGCATGTGGAATTTGACTGACGATCAATCACAAGCCTCCAAACGCAGGTTTTCCGGTAATCAATATCGGGGTCGTGAAGCTTTGATGTTTTCCCTGGGCCGTCAACAAGCCGCTTTGGGATTGGAATTGATACCTCGGTTTGACAGCCTGCAAAGGCATGGGGGATTTGGGGTCGTCGACAAACAAGCCTGAAAGTGATTGGATTAGCGTTATAGCCTTGGGTTGGGTACGGTTGGAGGGGTTGGACTCCTCTTTCCATTATATACGATACGGGTTTGGCCTATATATCTTTCTATTTATACTAGGGCAGGAGACCAGATTCAATATTTCTCCTCTTCGGTATCAGGTTTCTAAATTTGTATCTACCTGACTGTAATAGAGAAGTGGTGGAATTTGAACCCTTCGAAGTCATATAGAAAAAACTCATTCTTTTACGAATTATGGTGATGAACCCGGGGAGAAAACTACAAGCGCGCTAGCGCGTTACGGCTTTCGAGCCTACACTTGCTCCTTCCTTTCGTTCGTTTTGCATATAGAACTTTCAGGACGAT